GACAAGTGAATGCTGTGGTCAGTTGATGGAAAATGGAAGAGATAGGGTAGTTGTTGGAGTCACGAAGGAGAGGACTTACAGCGGAATTTTATTCTTCGTAGGTGATATCTAGGGCCTGCACCTCCGCCTTACTTCATTGTGAATTTTCTATTGTTCAGTTGTCGACCAATAAACTTTGAGAAATAATATTTATTTCCTTATAACTTTTTAAAAGACTGCAAAATTATAAAGAATTGTTCGATGTTTAATAAAACATCAGGTAGCAACGAACCAAGCATCCTTTGATTTTGACGGTCGGCATTTATACCAAGCGGACTTGATACCATAAAAAAGGGCGTGATTTACTGTCTACGTTTTATTTACTTCAAGATTTTTTTCTCTTCAATGAAAAACCGAGTTACTCAACTTTGAGTTCCTCTTTTTGATTTCATAGACAATGCTTACCTTTTTCGGTTTTCCTGCCACCTTTTTCCGTTGTTTAAACAGTTCCTGAGGAGTTTCAAGTCCTCCGATCTCTTTTTTGTGTTTTACCATTTTAGACTGACACAGCTTTAAGTTCCGAGTCATTGTACAAAAGATTTTCTATTTTATAACCTACAATAGAGCTAGGATGCTGTTGGCAGGGTCCAAAGTTCAACTTATGGGGGACTGATTAGCCCTCGAGGTGTTAGACACTAATTTAAACAAAACCAAATCACTACATGGCCCGTCTCTTCCTTTGAGAGTTCTTTCAAAGGTCAACTTCCCATATCGGTCTTAACAACGCAGTCGGTGCTACAATATTCTTCGTAAACTGTTCATCCAAGTTCCTTCCCTCTGAGGAAGCATTTGATCCCATTGTCATTTAATGCATCTGGGCTGTCTTACCGTACCTCAAGTCCCGTCCCATTTGTGAACTGCATTGTGGAGGAGGAAGGTGCTCTATAATAAGGCCACAACTTGTGTACTAGTTGCTAGGTATAGGGAATTTGGCCTCAAAACAGAACCATTTTGAAGGGAAAACTACTTAAAAGACCTTCTTGGGGCTCGTAATTTCCGTCCATTTCCCTTTGCCTTTTAGCGCTGGCCTAACCGGGTCCCGTTCACTCAGCGAAGCTGTCGAGGTGGCATAGTTTTTCACGTAATTAACTACCCCGCATATTTACAGAAGTAGACAGTTTCGTAATTGGTTTTTCCAAATCGTTTAAGTCTAATATCTCATCAGTTGTTGATAGCCTTCTTGTAGAACGCGGGGTTGGGGCAACTGTCAAAGGTAGACATCATTTTTGCTTCTACTGTCGGGAGTTATCAAAAAATCAGCTAGTTGAGGTAGAATTCCCTCTTCTGAGACGTTATACTTAGATATTCACTTACTGAAAACAAGATAGTCGTCCTTTTGGATCGGGTCCACTTGCCGCTGCCATCACAGTGTACTGTCCTGAGCCTCCTTGGTAAGCCATTGTAGCAATGGAAGAACACAATACTTACCAACGTACAGATGGAGGAGGCCATTTGGACAACCCAATGGTGATGGTACAGAGTAAAACTTAAGCCTGGGGATACTGAAGCATTGGTGTAGTTGGACACACATTTAAACAAAATGTCAAATCACTACAGTGGCAAGGTGGAGGGGTGTCGCATTTACAATCCAACCCCGTAAACGTCACCTTCTCCAAATCAGTGTTTGGTGCAGGTATATGAATGGCCTAACTCTCACACTTGCTGATTGTCTAATCCCCCAAAAAAGAATATTATAGACCTAGAGTAATTTTTTCAACTCCATGGGTTAAATATGCTGGTTTAAGGAGTCACACCAAACAGGCTAAACAGAGTGACATGTTTCAGCTATCCAATCAGTCTTTGTTTTAATTTACCAACAATGGGACTTACAGGAGGAATAAGATTTATGTGACAGACAAATTTACCTGTGGATATGTTGGGTAGTTTATTTAGTTTTCACGAAGTAAAAGTAATCAAATTACTAAAAATCGAGGGTTAATCACTGCTTTTCATTTACTTTTTCGGTGATGGTGGCCTTCTTGCCGGTAAGGTGAAGTAATGGTCTGAACGGAGGGTAATTATTTACAGCCAAATCGACTGCTACATTTGTCACTGACCGTTTGCAAGCCATCCTCTCGCCTCCCCTAGCCTCTTCCTTCTCGTCTTGTGAAGACTTGCGCGCAAGCGTACACACACAAACACGCCCGTTATTTTCCACCTAGAGGTGAACCAGCCAAACATTGTGCACAAGTGTGCCAATTTTCACACCGCCGCAAACAAGGTGCACGCGTTTTTCCCCGGCACCTTATTTGCGCGCCTTTTTCCTCATTTGAAATTCCCGTCAGTTGGCGAATGTCGCTGGCGTGCGCGGGGAGTCCAGCGACGCAGCCCAAGGGGGTGGGGCGGATCGATACCACCATTAACCGATCGATCGATGGGTAAAAGAAACTCACACAACCCCCTTCCTTTTTCATTGGACCATATCACGAGGATTGAATAGGCGCCTCTGTGTTTAAGTCCTCATTTTACTTGATGAATTTGAAAGCCATTTGGATAAATTTTTACTTAGCAATGTGCATGTGTCAGTGCAATGAATGCTAGTTATCATCGGAACGCAAATTAGAAAAATGTTTGGAAATGAAGCTCCAGATAAATGAACTTTACCTTGAATCAAACCATTTACCTATGAGTTTTTGTGAAGAGAAGTAATTTGTTTGGCTGAGCTTCACAAATTTTCATATTTTTACAAAAACAATTCCAAGCAATTATGTGGGTCTTGTTTACAAAATGAGGGACAAATGTGTGCAGGTTTATGTTTTGTGGTTATCGTCTAAACAAACTTGAGTAGAACCGACTTGTTTGTTTAACTATCGGCCCAGTGAAGTGTAAAAATCGAGTGTGAGGTACGGTTAATAAAACAAAACTTGTTCCTCCAAAGGACAGAATTTAGCACTCCAGACCAGACAGACCAATCAATTATTCAAACTTTTCCTTTCTTCGTCGTTGCAAAGGAACACCTTCTGGTAAGTTGCCTAAAATATTTGATCTTTAAAAGAAACTTCTAATGTAGCTTTCACAACTGAGGTCGATTATGGGAACCATGATTATGAAGTACTTAACGCCCTTCAACGCTAGAGTGCATCGGCCGTTCCCTCTCTTAAGGTAAATCATCAGACAAAACCCACCATTTTTGAAGAAATTATTTTTTATTAATCTACCTCAGGTAGATCGAAGCACACAGCATTTTTGTTGACTATTTGAGTACGTGATTTCGCTCTGGTGATCAACTTTAGCCTTGAAAATGACAAATACATCCACTTTACGAGGTTTTAACTTTTCATTTTGCTGTATCAAAGTGATTAGAGCCCATCTAAACCGATTTATGCGGCCCGAAGCATAGTCAAAACATCTCATAACTCAAGGTGCTTAACTTGGCTTCGGCATTGTTTGGCAATTGACAGCAAATTAACTCGACATGTGAATTAAGAGAACCTTGTGTCAGACTACTCAGAGACCTTCTCGATGTGAGTGACACCCTAAGTCGGTTTCTACACGCAACCATCCAATTTAGAGGCCGTTTACTGCCTGGGCCAACAACAGGACCAATCACCTCGCCTTTTGCACTATGATTGGTGCTTTGCACTCCGGGTGTTCAATATCGATTTTTGCCTGTTGACCAGTTCCCACTTGAACTGCACTCACCACGCCCACGGGGCCGGTAAATGACGGCTCCTTGCAAAGGAAAACGTGAAGAAATTTTTCCTTTTTTTGTTTTGTTTTGTTTTTATTCGACTAGTTTCATTCAACTGGTCCCCTATTGTAGCACCTCTAATGTTAGCATTATTAAACATTAAAAACGATTTCAGCAACAAGAAGACACCACTTGAAAACATGAAGCGATATTAAGCAGCTACTTAAATGGCTTTCTACCAGTACTTTTACAAACTGCCACCAAATTCGATGCTAGTCTTTTTAGGGTTGTCATGTCTTGACAATCGACTTGTACAACCTCCACCGAGAAAAGGCAGTTCGGTGGACTTTGTTATACTTATCCGTCGTCTATCCAGGGTGTTTGGAGGGTGGGAGAGGAAAGGGTGCTGGGGGAGGGTTGAGAGAAGAAGGTGGCAGACACACAAAGCCAACCATCTGGAGCCGGTGATAGATGCGCTTGCGATAAAGTTTGGTTAGAACGTGCGTGCATGCGAACGAGATGGCATGTATGACCATGGCGAAGAACGACATAAGTTTACTCGTCCCTACAAATCCAATCACCACTGGTAAATGACTTCAATGACTTCATTCGTATTCAAGCCCTCTTATAATCATCATTGGAAGCAGTCAAAGCCTTCACAAGAAATATTGACATCCAATTCACTCTTAGAGACGTTACGAGGCTGTGGAACCTATTATTTGCATGTAGACGGTCTGACAAAACTACTCGCTTAGCTGTCGTGATCAAAAAAACATGCAATCAGCATGACAAATGGCTCAAGATGGACGTGTCTACAATTACAGTACACATTTCTCTTTTGAGCGCCGCCGTCTGTAATCCCGGTAATTGCTAATTTGACTGGGAAAAGGGTGTTGCAGTGGGTCGGACTCCATCTGGAATGTAACATTTGTGTGCATAAATATACCTCGAGCTATCGAAAGGGCAGGCTTTCCTGTTCTGTGCACCACCTTCCGCCTACTTTGAAGCTTCATGCTGTAGAATGTCGGCTCAACGAAGATGGAGGAGTCAGTTACAATACCGTTGCTTAATCAACAAAGGTAAACTTACGTCCAGTGCAACAGAGGCTTCTCTCTCAACATTTGATGCTGGACATTGGGAAACGCACCACTCACACCCATACCCACAAGTGGCTTAATTAAACAAGTTAATTGAGGCGGTGATGCACTTAAAGGGGCACAAATGATGCTTGCGAAGGACCTTTTATTCATCGGTTTTACGAACAAGTACCTGGTTCTATTAATTCAAAAAGGGACAGAGACAGGCCTTAAGGGTCAGGAATGAAGTAAGGCTATCGAATCGACTGATTGTAAGTCGTTCTGCCCACGTACGTCACTAGACGACAAACAGTACATCTCCAAGACCGTCAGTCCACTCTTCACCTCGTTCCCTTAAGATTTGTTCATCCATTCATCCACCTATTTGTGGAGCAGAAGTCCGTTCCCAGAAAACTATGCTTGCATTGTGTATGCGATGCACAGTAGGCTGAAGGTCAAACGTTCACCCTTGTGATCTGCCTTCTCGAAGTGATACAAATGGAAGGTGCACACGAGCAGCATTTTCCTCCTCATTCTCCTCCTGAAGACTACATAGTCAAAACTAGTGAATTATTGGGAAGAAATGGTCTAACATGGCAACATTTTATATCTCATCGCACAACTTAGGGGTTGGAGAGAGGAAATGAGATACCGCCTTCTTCTTCAGGATCGTTCGTCGGAGTTACTCTTCTCCAAGTGATGCGTATCACCTTGTTATGCTTTGAGCGTTCGACAGGTGGGAAAATAATGAGCCAAATACGAAGGTCAATAAGGTTAGCATGTTTTATGGCCATATTGTGCCTTGCTGGAGAAGGGGAATTCCTTGCGTTAGAGGTCGTAAAAACGTCAAAACATTATTAAAGTAGCAGCAAAGTGGAGAGAAGGGATGAGAGGAAGATGTAGGTCTGACAATGCACCCACTAGGCATGGAGGATGCGTAACCCAAGGAGCACAACGGAGTCTTAGGCAAGCAGGAAGCGGCGGGAGGATCCACCGAAATTTAGGAAACGTAACAACAAATCCGATTTCGGGTGTCTTTTTTTTTTTCCATTTTAAGTGACGTAAATACTCTTTCCACAAACGATGGCGAAATACATGAAGCAGTGCACAAAACCATAATTCAAGGGCCGGAAAAATGCTTCTGAAGGGTGACAAACCGACTGTAGTGCGAACTAATGTGGTTCTACTACAGCACTTGATTTAAATACCATCAGGGATAAGGTTTTCACGACGTTTCGTGTGGTTGTGACCAGGCACTTGTTAATAAGACCGAAAGATCAAAGATCCTCCTAATACGTTACTGGTACTCCTTCGAGTGCATCACCATCGCAACCGATATGATTATCTAAGTCACTTGTGGGTGTGAGTGGTACGTTCTACAATTTTCAGCATCGAACGTTGCGAGAGCAACTTCCGCAGCAATGGAGACGAGTTGAATTAGGTAGGTTCACCTTCACCGCCTTCGTTGAACTGACATTCTACAACCTGAGATTTGAAAAATTAAGTAAGAAATGATGGAGAATGTAATAATAAATGCTCCACTGGCAGAATACAAGTGTTTTTATTTCATCTGCTGCACATAATGCTTGTTATGGTATTTCAGCCCCCAACTATGTTGGGAGTCTACAAAAGTTTAAAACAAAATTCATTTAACTGGTTCCTTAAATCCAAACTTCTCATCTGTGCCTTTTATTACTTCGGCTGTAGGTGACTCCAACTGAAGTTTGCCTTCATTGGAACTTATAAACACCAACTCCAACAGGTGGCTCCACAAAGCCCTTGAAAAACTGGAGTAGGCAGTCTTTACGAACCAGGCAACAAGGAGACTACAGAAGTCAAACGTTTCTTTTTGCCTTTTTATTTATCAAGAAATCTTGCAAAAATTCCATTTGAGGCTGCAAGAGGTCAGCAGAGCTGACTATGGTGGATGCGTCACTTTGTGCTGATGTGTTAGACTTTTACATAAACATACTTTTATAGTCACCAAATGGAGGTGAGATCCACCTTGTTTATGAACTAGTAGAGTGAGCTAGTTGTCACATTTTTTTCCTTCTTTTTGTACCCTTTTATGGGCAGAGGGGGAGGGAACTTTTGTATTCTCTTTCCACCAAATAACACAATAAGGCGTGCTTTTTGTTTCCATGGCGCTTCTTTGTTCATCTACTCCGATATCCCCCACTTTTATTTTGGTCGATGAGTGAATTAACCTATCTGTACACGTTTGTGCTTCTAAAGGTGCAATCCTTGACTTAACAGCTTCAAAACATTAACAAACAAGATTTACACTTCATAGCCAACTTATATCATCTACCATAACTTTTTTCCCACCCCAGACGGACGATAATCTTTCTTGGAATTCTGGAATGGTCTTGCCATTTAATGATCCACTCGAGGATACCACTTCAATCCGCGCAATTCATTGGCTCTCTGCGTAACCAATTATAATGCAGTATTTTAATGCCTCACAAACCAATCACAGAGCGTCGCTGATAACTCATTTATCACTTTGCTCCTTTTCAATGCTGTAATTACGAAACCGCTTAAGAAACCGAGGAGGAGTCGCCTTAGAAGTGATTCACTGCTTTGTAGGCTGAAGCTATCTTATTGACACATTCTTCACTCAAAGATATGAGTATTAATTCTTGAAGTCGTAACTCCACCAAACGCGACAGTACCCGCCTACTCAATAAGTTGTCACAGGGCATTAAAAGCGAGGGGCAAGGACCCACAAATAATTAGGGGTGTTTGGGTTTCGGTAACCAGTCCCTTTTTTTTTTTCTGGGCAGAGGCTTTTTCGATTGTTAGCTATATTTATCGACTATTTGACAGCTTGAGAGGACTCTAAAACTTCATTACCATGTATGTCAGAGTGAAATCTACACAGCGGAGCGGTTAAACATATCCGACACGGGGAATGGGCGTGCACTTCAAAGGGTAAAAAAGGGAGAGAGAGCCAGTTTGGCTCATAAAATATCGAGGATTCATGCAGATTGCCACACACCTTTGACATTTTCATGCCCAGAAATGATTGTACCGTGGCATTTGCAGGCTTTGTACAGACTGGATTGTTGAAAAGGCCTCCAATTCGGTGTAGAGTGAGTGGAAAGTCTGGTCTCAGCGATGAGTCATTGCTGACAAATGAATTGTTAATGCGATGATCTAAGACAAATGTTTGAAATATAGCGCATTTATCGATTAAATTTTGGATGAAAGAAAAACAAAATTACAAAGAAATTTATCTGTCTGATAGGATTCTACAGTCCGCAGTTTGTCTTTGGTGCTTTAAGCTGTCAGGGAGTGAAGCATTTGTGCCACCTTGAATTATGGACGACTTCGGGGGGTCTTCGTCAAGAAGGCGACTAGTGTGTTAGAATTATGTGGAGACTCAGAAAATTTGGCCCAAATTGCAGGTAGGCATTGCGTGATACAGATTAAAGATTGACCGGAAGACCAACTAATCAAACACATATTTTTAAGATAAAAAAATTTTGTAAAGGCAAAAACCCACCACGAAGCGAGTTTGAACATAAAAATCAGGAATTAAAAGGTTTCTTCGAAGAGGAGGGAGGAAAACCATTCGTGGAGGAGTCTGTACAATTAACATGGAAAAGAAGTTGATTCTCAAAGGGTGGATAGATCAGAGAATTTATAAGCAGTCTAGATTTTTTATATTAAACGCCACATGGACAGTGCTGTACCCTATTTCAACGGTGGTCAATTGCAGGATGCTATGGAATTTTCATTTAAACTAGTCAAAAGGTGCCACAGAGGTGGTTTTTTCTGACAAAAGTTCAAATTTAAGAACGGCTACCGAACCCAAGTAGATTTGAAGGTTGGTTTCGGCTGCACAAGTTGCCACCGAGGAGCCATGAAACTGTCATCTTTCTGCGTACATCAATAAAAATGGAGGATTTTGGGTACAAGCCAGTCTAGAAGCCCACTAATGGTATTTTGAAATATCCAATCGAGCTAGTAAACTTTTTCAAAGTACTACATTTACGGCTCTGTCCTTCTTTTTCTTATCAATTTTTCCAGATTTATCTATCAGGGATCCTTTAATCACCTGATCAGAGTGACAAGGCTCGTTGCACTAAGATATTTTGTAATTTCCACAAAAATGAGCAGCTTCGAAAACAGCTTAAATGACGAATAGTCGATGCAGATGAGGCCATTAATCACTAAGTGGAGTGGACCTTTGCTATTGCTCAATTCCACCAAGAGAGGTGGACAATTAATACAGCCAAAACATCTGCCAAATGGACGGAACAAAGGCTATTGGATGTTGGAATGCTGACAGTAAGTGACAGCAGTAAACAGCAACTCTTACTATTGAATTTGAAAGAAAAATGATTGGAAAATTCCATTTTAAACGCACGAAGATATGAATGGTGGGATATGTTCAAATGTCCTCCATCATGACGCTTTAGTGATTGCAATGAGTTTTTGGCAATTTCCATTAGGGACTTAAACTGTGGTTGACGACAATGAGAACTTCTGAAGACTTAGCCACTAAGTTCAAGGCAGCTGTGACATTTGGCAAAAACACTTCAATGCAACTCAAAGTTGGCAACAATTAGCACTCTTATCCAGGAGGAAAGATTGGCTACAAATGGACCAATCAAAACGTTGGGGATCTTTTTCTCTTGATTGAACATGAAATAAATACCTTACTCGTACACTTTTGGTTCAGATGAGCTACCCCATAATCCATTTAGCTAGTAGAATTCCGATATCATCCAAATATCATAAAGTGAACTTTCGGTAATAAATGATTAGGTCTTTCCATCTCTCTGTAATACCAATGAAGAGGGGAAAGCAGTTTGAAAACAGGCAAGTCCGAAGCACATTTGAATATCTGATTAACTTCAAAGGGTTGCATAATCACTGCCTACGGCCGGTGCTGGAGAATAAGTAAACAAGCCAGTGGACTGGATGAGGTTGCAACCTCGAGAAAAGGTAAACCAAATAGTGTCGGATGATCAAGAGGGTCTGTGAGGTTTTCAAAATACCTCATTGCTCGGTACGTGTTGTTTGTTTATGTACAGAGATAAATGGGTGTAATTCCGTCGGATGAGGTGTCCTTCCACTGTTAAACAATGATCTCATCAAATTTCGGGTGGCTAAACTCGATGAATGCGATACTAGCTTCTCCGCTTTACAAATTGCGTTTAACTTTGTTTTAAAAGGATAGGATTTTGAGGTGGTAGCGTGGCAGAACCTCCCTCTGGTTGGTTTTGATGGGGAGCTATTTGAAGATACATCATAAACCAAAAAACCTCTACGGGTGGTGACAGTGGAACAATCGGTCGACATTTACACCCAGTGGGAAATGACGGTGATAGGAGTTATTAACCAGAGAACAGAGGGTAAACTTTGAAATCTCACTTTTTCACTTTCCCCCAATCCCTTATAATACGCGTAGTTTTTGGATGCTAAGGTGACAGGCTGAGCAACATACTTGTTTGTTGAGCGAGCGAACACATCATTGGTCATTGCCAAACAAAAAGTTGCACACTTCCAGGGCACGCACCACATCATTCCCAGAAGACTGAGCTTTTGTCTGTGTGTGTATGCTGGCGTGGTGGACTGTGACGACAAATGTTTATCGGGACTAAATCAAATGCTTTAGCAGAGAGAGGTCCGCCTAAATGACGCGCACAACTTGGTGAGGAAAAGCCAGTCATACTGAATCAGTTTAAAGACAAGGGAGCACAAAACCTTAGACCGCATACCGCATACCACAAAATTTAGCCCAGGAGATAGAAGGAAGAGAGGAAAGAAGAAACAGCCTCAGCCCCTATTCTCGTCCTCCACATTCCTTCAATGATATTTTTCTCAAATCGACGTTCATTGCCTTGTCTTGGCATTAACATTTTACAATCCTGTGTTAGGTAGTGCAGACAGTTGAAAAGTAAGAGTGAGAGCCTAGACGAAATAATAAATTGTGAAGGTACAGACAAGAGAACAGGTGGGAACGGGGTGGATGGATAGGTGGATGAGTGGGTGAGTGGATGGATAAATTACTCTTCTTGAGGTCACAAATAAGGCGAATGATCCGAAAATCCAGACATTTACCATCACCAACTTCAAAATCATGGATACGAATGCCAAAAGCTCATGTGGAAAATCACAAAACCTTGCGATGCACTTGACTTTTTCCCAAAGGTGATCAAAACGTCTACAAAAAATTAGTCGTCCACCTATGTTGAAGTATTTCAAATTTCACTTGTTGCTCATTGTTAGCCAATCTTGTGAAAAAGTTTACTAAAAAAGCTGCAAAAGGCAGTCTAATGGTTTGTTTAAAAATGGCGCATTTAAAAAAGGTAATAAAGCGGCTTTCTTGATAGTCTCCTTCTTGGTTATAAAATCTGTCAGATTTGATTGATTAGCCATCTCAGAGATAAGGTGGATTTAATAGGCATTGAAGTAATTAGGAATTTC